CGCGAAAAATTATTGAAATATCTATTGCTCCAAGGGTTAAGGGGATCTCGTAGTCGAGCAGTCTCGACTAGAGCTTTCTTACTTGTTTTTATATTTATTAATATCTTATAGGATCATCCCTTTTAAGGAGATCTATTGGCTGGCAATTAGCCGACTGGCTAGCAAATTAGTGTGTCTGTCAAGCCGTTTAAAATATCTTTCCGAACATAGTTGTAGGACATTGTCCACCATTGGAACTTTAGATCCTTTTCAATGTCTCTGGTTCTCATGTACCATGGCACGACACAAATTCGCCAGAGAATTTTTGCTTGGGCGACTCTAATTTTATTCAAATTAGTTTTTGTTGCAATGCCATATATCTCTAGGGCGTATTCCCAGATAGGGCTTAGGGTGCTCTTGTATATCGTGGTTTTGCTGTACAGCGATAATTTGTTTTTCGGAGCAAGAAGCCACGTCATCTTTCTGGCTTTCGCCATTACCGACTGCCGTACCATGGTAGTATGGGCTTTGAAATTTAGTTTCCTGTTCAGTAAAACTGCAAAGTACTTACGTGAGCTCTTTTTGGGTATTGTGGAGCCCAGCGTAGTAATGCCTCTAGAAGACAAAGTTCTGGGGGTAAACCACTTACTGGTGTTGATGCCTATGTTCCATGTTCACATACTGCTGCAAGGATTCCGTTGCTGTGTTAGTGCTCGGACTTCTAATCAAAATTGCAGTGTCATCCGCGTAGGTTGTTATCAAGACATTGTCCTTGACAGTGTGGCCATTTCCAGTGAACGTGCGCTCAATTGTTTGACACCTTAGGATGTATGCCTCTTACAATTACCCTGTATGGAGTATCCTCTCTCAGCTCTCTCATGATGGCAAAAGTCACAATTTTTCGCCGTCAGCATTCTAACAATTTTGCAATATACGTGACACTCCCGATCTGGATGTACGAATGTCATACTCATCGGCTGGGACTACAGCATTGATTTCTTCTTCTAGTGTATCCATTTTGGTCACTTGAGGCACGTATATAGCTGGAGGCTTCGATGCTCTGCTTATTTGCTGGACTTTGCAAGACACTCTAGCTTCATCGTCCCGACTTTCTTCTTCCAGATCCATAATAGCATCTGCTTCCTCAGAAAGCACTGCATAGCGATTGTTGCTTAATGCACTAGTTGCAGAAAGCTTGCACTTTTGCCTTACGAATTGAATTGGATATATGCACTCCATCTTTTCGCTTCTTGCTTACGGCTAGTTGGAGTGCCAGGATGGGATATGTTGGGCCCTCCAGTGGCCGCCACAGTGTAATTGGAAGTGGAAACACAGCTTGCTTGGGTCATAGTGATAGTACATGTGTAATTTGTATCGCAACTCGTTGTTACAAACAAACGTTTGTTTTGTTTACCAAATTATCAACATGACTGTTTGTTGACAACTTTACTTTGGGAACGTAAATGCGAACGCATAGTAACAGGGTCAGCATACGATATCTTCCTCATCGTCTGTGTCTTCGAACTTCTCTCACTAAGAAGCGAGCAAGACGACAAGTCCTCATCCATAATTACAATTGCTACTATTTAAATAGTTAAATAGGAAATTGTAAATAGCTTCAACAGTTCAATAAATATGTATGTATATGCGAGATGAAAGGGTGTCGACCTCCCGCTACTGTGGAGCGCAGTGCGAGGGGCGAGCCAAACACCATCAAAGTCTCTCTCTTTACTGTTAATTACCGTAATCTGCAGTCGCCACCGCTCAGCAGTGGCTAAGAATAGATCGCGTTTCGATTTAGGTGTCACTTAAACAAATTGTAACAAGCTTATCACAATGCACGTCTGATGCAAACGACAAGCACTTGCAGACTCCCCTTCTGCCGGTTACATATGTATATTAACAAGTAACAAGTAAGAAGGCTCCAGTCGAGACTGCTCGACTAGGAGATACCCTGAACCCTCCAAGCTGATATTCTAATCATTCTGCACTTCTTTTATGCAGACATACATACATATGTATCCACACGCACGCATAAGCCTGCGCTCTGCTAACTGCGCAGTAAGCAGCGACTGCGCTTGGGCTGCGCTGCAGTGTGGGCAATATTATGAGAATTTATTTGTTGAATAATTTCTTTTGTAGACATACGATCTTAATGAAACTTTCAGAGTGTAATCATATGGTAAATATGTGTGTACATTCCAAAGCACAAGTCTCTAGTACTTGAAATGCGTTTTTTACAAATTGGGGGAGAAGGGGGCGTGGTATCCAAAATCTGTAAATTACAAAATCTTTGTATCGATTAACTTTATATACAACNGCGTGTGTGTGTGTGTGTGTGTGTGTGTGTGTGTGTGTGTGTGTGTGTGTGTGTGTGTGTGTGTGTGTGTGTGCGTGTTTCTTGTGTAAGTAGAAAGACACAAAAAATTATTGAAATAGCTATTGCTCCAAGGGTTCAGGGGATCTCGTAGTCGAGCACTCTCGACTAGAGCTTTCTTACTTGTTTTTTGCAGCTTTTGTCTTAAACTCTATAGCGCATTTATAAGGATACCTTAACTAATGACGTGGCTAAATACCTTTATTACTACGAATTACGTTTACTAATTTAGGTCACTTCTCGGGTCCAGGGGGTGTAATCTTTTCAGCCTTCTGTTGATGGCGTTGGTGGATAAATTGGCTGCAAGCTGGTTTGGGTGGGCGGATATTGTGTCCGCGTACCTAGTGCTGTGTCGGCCAATGAGCTCAGCAATTGTCGGCATCTGGAGGTCGGTGTGCAGGGTTTCATTTCTGACGTACCATTCATTAATATTTTTAAATATATCGAATTTGAAATTTTAGCCATACTAAAAGTGCAAAAACGCACATTAGTTTGGTTCAGGGTAGTATCTAGTCGAACACTCTCGACTTGAGTTTTCTTACTTTTCAGGGTATAAGGGTTTTGTTAAATATATTAAACAGGCAGAAGGGGGCGTGGTAGACCCCATAAAGTATATATAAGTATACATATATATTCTTGATCAGAGCGACGAGCTGAGTCGATTCGGCCATGTCCGTCTGTCTGTCCGTCCGTCTGTCCGTCTGCCCGTATGTATGAACGCGTTGATTTTAGAAGATATAAGAGTTAGAGACTTCAAATTTATTTTAAAATGTCCGTGTATACAGCTACTGATCACGTATTACGTACTCTCACATACGCGAATAATCACACACACCCTCTCACTCACACATACACATACTCACATTCACACACATGCATACATGCCTATCAGTCCAGATGGAAAGTCTATTGTATTATAATTGATGTCGTCATATATTATGAGCAATTCATAGGCTTTTGACATCTGATATCAAATTCACTGCTTCCCGTTGGTGAGAGGAGGAGGTGCCAGCGGAGCTCTTGCCTAACTTAATAAGGCTGTCAACTTGACCAGCAACGGTATACGGTAGCCAATTAATTTGGAGCACAACACACAAACATACATACCTGGAATGGCTAAGAAAATGTGCTGTTAGTAAATTGTTTGCAGTTTTCACCTGGCGTACATTTGAAACTGGCAACGTGTGTAAATCTCGTTAGGTAATTTTAATGTTATTTACACAAATTGATTATGTGTATTTTCCAATTTGATTCCATTTTAATTGCCATAGCTTCGTTCAGTCATTCGCACTCACATTTTCATCGATCAAACCTGGTCTTTTGGATTTATCTTTGCTTTCAACTCAATTGGGTTACAGTCCAGAGCATAAACCAGTAATAAGTTTAAGTACTCGATATGCTTTGTTAATTGAGCTCAATGTCCATTACGAATAGTAAATCCTAATAGAAGAACCCATTGAAAATGGGAAATCGTGGTATAATGGTTTTGTGAAAAGTATGTAACAGGCAGAAGGAATCATCGCAGCTGAGGTGATATAGCCCTATCCGTCCGTCCGTTTGAGTACGTCGATTTTAGAAGATATAAGAGCTAGAGTACTGAAATTGTGCATGCAACTTTGTGTACATCATACGCAGCACGCGTTTGTCATTGTTTTCGATATATATTTTATATTATATATTTTTTATAGAGTTAATCGATAAATTGATTTCGTTTTTCCAGCCTAATTTGAATACAATTAAGCGTAGTTTAAGTACTAGAGAGTTGTACTTTGGAATGTACATACATTCGAGCATTGTGATTACGTTCTGACTGTTTCATGATGATAGTCCTACTTCAAGAGAAATTATTCAACAAATATATTCTGAACATATTGCCCACACTGTAGCCCAAGCGTATTCGCTGCTAACTGCGCAGTTAACAGAGCGCGTGTGTCCATGTCTTTATATATGTGTGCATTATGTGCAGAATAATTTGACTGTTAGTTCTTTGCAGGGTTCAGGGTGTCTCTTAGTCGAGCAGTCTCGATTAGAGCAAAGCGAGATGTGTGATTATAGCATGCCTTTGCTTTGGTTATACTCTGTGCTAAAATATGTGAGTTTTCTTCATCTACTTGCTATAGAACTACATGGAAAAGGATCTGGGAAAGGTTGTGCTGTATACAACGAGCATGGGCATCATCAGAGAGACGTATGCCAAGTGCGCCAATGTCAAGCAGATACTGCGCACATTGCTCGTCAAGTTCGAGGAGCGGGATGTGTTCATGAGCATCGAGTACCAGCAGGAGATGCGAGAGCGCATGCACCACGAGACGATACGAGTGCCGCAGCTGTTCGTCGAAGGACAGCACATTGGTGTAAGTATGCGAGAGATACTTCACTTTCTAGAAAATACATTCTACAGTTCAGTATTTGGCTTTGCAGGATGCCGACACAGTGGAACGTTTGAATGAGAGCGGAGAGTTGCGACAACTGCTGCGACCCTATAAGGTAAGTCAAACCACATATATTTTACTCTGTAACTAAAGTCTTGATCTCCTCCCGTTCAGTCCTTGGCCACGGCCTACACCTGCCAGACCTGCGGCGGCTACCGACTGCTACCCTGCCCCTCCTGCAGTGGCTCCAAGAAGTCGGTGCATCGGAATCACTTCACCGCTGAATTCGTGGCCCTCAAGTGCATGAACTGCGATGAGGTTGGCCTGATCAAATGTCCCAGTTGCTAAAGTCCCCTCTAGCTAAGACGATACTCGAGAAGTGTTGTTATTATTATTATTTTTTTTTTTTTTAATTTTTTATGATTGTAGTATATATTTATATGTATTTTGTATAGCTTGTTATTAACAGTTGTGATATTTGAAGCGGTTGGCTGCATGTCTCGTATATGGGATTTGGAATCAGCACCTGAATTGGCGATGTCCATGGGAAAGTTACGCGAAGCCTTGCAGAATATACATATATTATATACATAATTTATGCAAATCAAATTATGATATATACATTACATATATACATGTGTAAAATAAAATAAACAATAGTGGAACTTACAGTTATACTGTCTTGTGAATGGAATCAAATTCAGTTCAAGGATAAAGGATAAATAATACTGATGATACTCTGAAATTGATAGAAAGACTCGAACTTCAGTCTCTAGGAATCCAACTTTATTTATGTGAGTAAGACTAAGTATTCCCTGATGCATGGATGCATGGATTGAACCGCGACTTGTGCTCATCAGCCCTGTCCGTCCGTCCGTACTCATTTGCGAAAGTGAAAGGAGGTTTTGTGCGTGTCCGTCTTGCTGTCCGTCCGTTTGTTTGTATGTACGCAATTTATTTCGGCGTTATTGAAGCTTGAGACTTAAAATTTGGAACACATACTCGTGCATATTTCCTATTTATAAAGTGTTAAAATCCACCCACTAGGGGCGTGGCAAATCGGAGAATGCATCTCCCGATATACCAGAAACCATATTAGTTGATGGGCTAAAAAGCTGAAATTGGGAATGTAGATCCGCGTCGACCACCCAAGATCAACAAGCTATGGCGGATATATTTACGCGCAATGGGGGCGTGTCAAATCGGATAAACTGTATCGGACCTGAAGATATAGTGATTTTTCAAATTATTCTATATTTTGGCTGCTATTAATGCTAGAGACCTCAGATTTGGTATATATACTCGGGCTGACGACCCAAGACCAAAAAGCTTCGACGGATATATGTCCGCCCACAGGGGGCGTGGCAAACAGCATGTGTTTATATCTTCTACAGTTCAAGAGGTAGGAGCTACCAAATTTGGATAGTTGGGTTACTAGAACCTCCTCTATCGGCGTAACAAAAATAATTGTTACGCCCCTTTAGGGGCGTGGCCTATCCAAGATACCTTGTAATTTATACATTTTTTGAGCCCTAGCATCCAAATTTTGCAGTGAGATTACCGCTAGCTCGTTCAAAGAGGAATTAAGTGTCTATGCTAAGTAAGGGCGTGGGAAATCGGGAAAACTGCATTTTCTATAGTATTAGAACTCAACTTACTAAATTGCTGATGGGATGTAAATGAGCATTCTGAAGTTGGTAACGCCCGACTGCAACGTTTTTACTTGCTATACATATTAACTTTATAGAACAGAGCTTGACGACAACTGAAATTCATTTGCAGTGCGAGTTAAAAATTGCAGGCATTGAAGGTCTGCTATCCATGCTCAACTATCCTTGGATTTTTATAACTTTTATTACATATTTAATTTTATTATCAACACTTAACACCAAAGAAAGTTGAATACTACAAGTAAGAAAGGTCTAGTCAAGACTGCTCGACTACGAGATCCCCTGAACCCTTCCAGGAACTGGTATATCAATAATTCTTTGCGTCTTTGTGCTTACACAAGAAACACACACCCACTCTCTCACAAACACACATAGGCAAGCACGCATAGACACGCATGGGCTGCAGTATGGGCTTACTATGAGAATTTAATTGTTTAATAACTTTTCTTGTGGACTTTCTTCATGAAATTTTAGATTGTGATATCATCAAATTGCGTGCATTTGCCAAACCACAAGTCTCTAGTATTTGAAATACGCCTTTTACAAATATATAGATATTGGGGTGGCGGTAAATTATAGCAAAAATTCAATAAAATACATATGAGTTTACATTAAACAAGTAAGAAAACTCTAGTCGAGACTGCTCGACTACGAGATCCCCTGAACCCTTGGAGCAATAGATATTTCAATAATTTTTCGCGTCTTTCAGCTTACACAAGAAACACGCACACACACAGGCATACATACACACACACGCATACAGACACACA